GGCGGGTCCTGGCATCCGCCGCTCCGAGAGAGACCCCAATCGCTGGGCAAGGCCGCCCCCCGATTGTGGGGCCTCCCCGCCGGGAAGCACAGCAACCGCAGTAAGTGGGGCAGCCCGATGCCTCTCTCCCTCCGCTCGTCGGCAAGTCCAGGGCTGGGCAGGGCTGGGCTGCGTTGGCCTGGCTGGGCGCGAGACGACCCTGCGCTCCGACCGACTCGGAATCCGATCGCTGGGCTGATTAATATGCTAATTGCGCGGCGAAGGAGGAGGAGGAGGAGGAAGAAGAAGAGGAGAGCGAGCTTGTCAAAGTGACCTGAGCTGAGTGGCGAGCCGCGATAGGGAAGGGAAGGGAAGGGCGAGGAGAGAGGGGGGGAGGGGCAGCCATGTGACGCAGATGGAGAAAAACACACCAATCTCTGCCACAGTAGCCACCCTAGGCGGGCTCGCGCAAGGAGAGGAAAGGGGAGGGAACGGAAGGGAAGGGAAGGGAGGGAACGCAAGGCAAGACGCGCGCTTCCATGTGTGTGTGTGTGCTCGCTCAGAAAAAGACATGTGCTGACACGTTTGCAGGCATGTTTGCAGGCAGAGGCACCATATAGGCTTCACTGGGGCTCAGGCTGTTGTTTTTTTTAGGCGCGAATTGTGATATAGATTAACCCGCGTAAGTAAAAAAAATAAAAAAAAATCCTCTCGTTTCCCTTTCACCAAGGCAGTACTTTTTAAAAATCCGAATTTCCTCTTTAATTAGAGCAGACTTTCCCATTTTTCGACGAGTTCAGGCTCTTCCGATCCACTGGGCTTCGGGGGCTGAGTATTTCACTGCTTGGAAAGGACGAAGTGAAGGTTCTTCCAAATTGCCTGGAGTGTAAACCCTGCTTTCCCAAGGAGGAGCAGACTTTGGGTTAGTAGGCTCTGCTTTGTTAGGAACTAGAATCCTGAGATTTACTAGGTGAAGCCAGGTGCAAAAAGAGAAGCCATACACAGGTGGGCAAATAGGCACTCCAGAAGTGATTAAGGCTCACAGTGCTGTTCCACAAAAAAATCTTAAGACCTCGCCACAGTGGGAGTGGGGTTATTGGTTTGTAGGTAAAACGTGTGCAATGGTTAGGAAATATCCAATCCAAATCCAAATCCCCCTTAAATCTGTCTCATTTAATCAACTTTTTTTTTCAGGAAAAAGCTGTATTTTTGTATTTTTTTTTCTTTTTACTACTCAGTGCAGTTAACTGAGTAGTTTTCAGATCCAGGTTAGATGATTTGCAACAAATGGAATAAAAAGTATATTGCAAAATGATTGTTCCTGCAGTTTAACATTCAACCTAAATAGCTTTTCCCTCAATTTTTAAGAGTAGGATCCTGTCATTAAAAGTCATATACACTTATGGAAGGGTTGGTATCCTCTATTTTTTCCTCTATATTGGAATAACTATAGTTCCCAACATATTAATCACCAATCACTTTGATTGTGACTGGTGAGTCCTTAAATCTGTGCTCTATAGGATCATTGTATGCTACTCCTTCACATTTTTTCCATCTTACTTTCTGGGTTCTGATTCACCTTTTTTTATCTGTTCTGTTTTTTGCATTTAAAATTTAGCACATCCTCCAGATTTCCTTTTGCTGAGATTCAATCTTTCCTAAGAGTTAAGAGAATATTTGGTGATTACTGTTAAGGAAGTATAGATCATTTTTCTGATTACAATATCAAAACAATGATTCCTAACATGTAGTTTATGATTTATTATGAATACAGGGGGAAAGTTCTTTAATGTACAATATAAATATGTATAAGTATAATTAACAAGTGTTTGTTTAATTTTGCCACTTTTAATACTAGGATTATATTAACAGTTTCTTTTTAATCATTTCATATTTTGTTTTTGTTTTTTTCAAATAAGGGTTTAAATCTCTTAAATAGGTTTCTTAGATATATTATGAATATATTCAGTTATTTGTTGATTTTCTGCTTTCTATTTAATGACTAATTGTAGAATGCTTTTATTTCTTCATAATATCAGTAGAGGCCTTGTAGAAAGCCTCTTTATAGATGTTCTGGTTCATATTTTTAATTTTACATAAAAATAATTTTTATTAATTTGATTAATTATTTAGTCCAAATGAGGGTAAACCTCTTTGTGATAGTAGCAGCATGTCCGGCAGCCAATCTAAAAGCTGTTCATTCATGTTTCCCTAAACAAATAATGAAGGAGAAACGTATATTTTATATTGTAATTAAAGAATAAATGTTTTCTATTATTATTCACCAAAGTTTTGCCAATACACCTCTTTTCAGATTAATAACTCCCTGGATTATGGAAATCATGAGAAGGAATACGTATCATATTTCAAGAAAAGGATTGGTCAATATAAAAAACTCATTTGTTTTAAAAATATATACCCAACTCTTTAGGCTTTTGTATAAGAGGGGGAAAAATGAGTGCTTTGATATAATATGCCTATTTGACCAATCTTTTACCTTTACTTTTTAAAAAAAAAATCCGGAGACTTGATTAAACTAGAATTGAAGTTAGAATTACATTATTCTTTTAAGAATTAGACTGCAGTATAGGATAATTTTATTTATTTTTTCTTTCTTTTAGAGTATTTTGTCTACCGTATGCCTCTTTTGTCTTGGATATGCTATTCGTTATCAAATGTATTTTTAAATGGCTGACCAGAGCAGATTCTTACATGGATACAATACAGTAATTCCAGAGCTAGCCAAGCACCCCCTCCATCCCCTTAAGAATGAATGACCTAATAGGCTAATATATTGTGGGAATAATGGCTAAAGTAAAGCATACTTAAGATAACCTGGAAATTTCTTTCATAGTCTTGAAGCTTATCTCTAACCTGGAAACTGTCTTCTGCATCTCAGTTAGAAAAACCATTCTACATGGTTGTAACCCTATAGAAAATGCACAGAGGCAAAGATGATGTCATTAGCTAAGGTCTCATAGTGCCTACCTCTGGTGAAGAAACCAGTTGGGAATTTTCCAGCAGTTTTAGCAAAGGACAAAGAAATCACAGAGGAGATGTCATGGGAGGAGTTGCTGTAATAAAAACATAAAAAGGAGGCCCTATAGGGAACACAAGGTTCCTGCTGACTGGAGCCAGATCCTTCAGCAGGAATTGGTGGTATGAAAGAGATTTCCAAGCATGAGCTCATTTTGGCAAACCAGATAGAAAGTACTGCTTTACTGTTAAAATCTAGTTTTAAGTTAACAGAATGAAAAAGGGAAAGCTAGAAAATACTCTTAACTTCTCAGAAGAAATTGCACATAACTTCAAAATTGCTTTAGTATATTATTGTTCGGCCAAGTAATAAACATTGACGCCATTCTCCTTTACAAGATACAATGCTATTTATATTCATTATATACATTAATAGTGGAAAAATTACCCTCATTATATGGTGCATTTCTATAATGAATTTACCCAGCAGAAAGTACTCAGAGAATATGTAAATTGAATTGGAAATACAAGAAAAAATGCTACCTCAAGAATACTTTAAAACAAAATATATTCTTTATATATAAAATTGTATTATTAAAAGCAGGGCTGCTCAGATATAAAAGGAGAGGAAAAATAGGAAAACAATGGAAATTAATTCTCTTTCATACACACAGTTCCCAATGAAATAATGTCCAAATTATCTGCTTGTATAGACTCCTGCTTCAAACTATACACAATATTTATAAAGATGAAGGAAGAATGACTCTTGCGTTTTGATTAGATGTTAAGAAGCCTCGCACTGAGAGCAAAGTCACATGTTTTATACAAATTCAAGATTATAAAAACCAACTTCTTAGCAGAATTAAGTCAACATAGCTATAAAAAAAAATGACACAAGATAAAATAGTTTACAAAAGACACACTGGAGTAAGTAAAACAGTGTTTCCAAAGATACAATTTATTTAAGCTATAGGGAAAGAAGCTACCTTTAAGTGAGCTACATTTCACTGGCTAATCTGATCCAGCTGATTGACTGATTATGTGCCATCAAGTTGTTGTCAACTCTGACTGATCACAAAGATATTCTCCAGGACAATCTGTCCATAATTTGGGGAATGCAAACAGCATGGCTGGGACAACAGGAAAAAATGTGGTTATCATCAAGCTGCTTGCATATAGTCATTCCAATAGACAACAAAATAGGAAAAGAATGGAAATTAATAATGGGATTATTGCCTGTTTTTGGATGGCAGATTTTCAAGAATAGGATAATTGAAATGGGTAGAGTTCAGATGATAAAATGCATCATTCGCTTTAAGGGAGAGAGGATTGAACAGAAAACTTTAGTTTTAGCTCCATTCTGAATTCAAATCAGAGCAGAATATACAGTCTGGGATTTTTGAGTATGGATTTTCCTGTGAAAATGTAATGTTTTAGATTTTTCTTTATAGTCTAATAAGAACATGGTCTACTGAAAAACTATTTTGATGAATTTCCTGGGTATCTCCAGCTCATAGGTGATACTATAGCAAACCGTAGAATAACACATGTCTTTGTTCTCTTTGCATTCCTACAAGGAGGAATAAGTGGAAAGCAATGCTGCTGATCTACATCAGAAAGGTCTGGGTGTGTCATAGATCTTGGCAGCCTTGATTAGATTTGAAGTAATCAGGAGGTCAGCACAAGTCTATCAACATACACTCATAGCTTAGCCTCTGATGCATTGCACAACACACAGTTGTTTAGCTCTTGAAAGAGCTTTCTGCTAAATTATTTTCCCCTTTTCAGATACATTTTTCAAAGGCTTCTTTAAACCAAGAAAAAGAGCTTTGAGAAACTGGCATCTGGAAAGAAAGGATAGGGAAATCTACAGTTGCTGAGTTCTCAATTCTAATATACTTTAAAAACAATTCATACCTGAATTATGCTAGTTTCAGGTTTTCTAAAGTGACGCTTTGTTCAGTATTGATGGCTGTAAAGAGCCATATGTTCAAGTTTGAAGATAGGTTATATTGGCAGTCAATTTAGAATTTAATCCAGAGACATTCTTCATTTCCCTTATATTTATTTAATATTAAATGTATATTCCATCTTTCTGTTGTATAAACACTCAACAGCTTAGAACAATTTAAAATGCATAATATAAAACATAGTAAAACAGTACATACAGTTAAAATCAATAAAATAATGTGGCTCCGTATCTGTGCTTAGCCTATTTCAATGCAGGGATCTAAGAATACTTCTTATTTTTTATGAGAGCATTGTTATACTAGAGTTTGTATTGACTTCTCCCAATACATTTCTCAGGTAGAGGATTTATTTATCCAAAGACATGTGCAGGATTTATTCATCCAGAGATGACAGGGATTTCTGTTCCTTTCAAAGGCTCGTCAGTTTCTTTACAGATGTTTTTTTTTTTAAAAAAGCTGCTGTCCTTTAGTTAAACATGCTAAAATTCAGTTGTTTGCCCAATCTTGGAAATTGTAGGATCTAGTCTGGGCTGAAGAAATCCGGATAACCACTAGATGGCAGCAAAAAGACGCTCTAATTTGTAACTATCCCCAGAGTGACCTCATTTTTAGAACTCAGATCTGACTGTTCTTACAGGGAGTTCTGCAGATGCTGGATAAGCAGCTAACTTCTGTGTTGAGAGCTGTCTGGACTTTTGACTTCTGTGGCATGGAATTCCACAGGAGTTCTGATAATAGCTGTAATATCAAGAGGAGGGAAGCTAAGCGTTAAAATGTTTGCAGACATTCCATTGAATGCATGCCACCCGACTTTGAAGTAAAAATAATTTAAAATAAACAAATTAATAAATAGAAAATGATGTACCCACATAAACATTACTTGGTCTTTCTGCTAACTAGGTTTGGGTAATGCGGATGCTTGTCTATACCTCATACAGATTCAGAAGGCAAAATAAAAGGAATTGTTTGAACTCTGAGAGTTGTAGTTTCATGCTTTGGAAGGATGTTAGACATGTAAGATTGGGGAAGAGATTAAAAACCCCACTGAGAGGACCATAAACTGGCTGCAGTTTTGTAATCATCCAGACGACTGAATGATTCCAATAAAAGAATGAAAGAAATTGGTGTATCCCAAAAGAATGACAACTCTAATTTTTTCTTGTAAACGGAGTTTGTATTTTCCAGGTTGGTTAATGTCCTAGAGAACAGATAACTATATTTCTCTATAAAATAATGCTCTTTTATTTTTCATGTACAGTAGTAGAAAGACTAGTAATTTACTCACAAAGATGACCACTGTAATAATCCTTCAGTTATTTATATTAGGGTTAAATTATGCTGACTTCACTTTTCTTTTTCCACACAATGTCTAAATTAAAATTACATGAAAAGGAGTAGGCAATGGAAACAATGGTGACATTCCTCAATTCTGAAGCTATTGTCCAGCTTCTCTCATCAGGCTAACCTGGAACCAATTAAATGGTGGACAAGAATCCAGAAATTTCCAATAATAGGCTTTATGGTAGAAAAGTTGTCAGGCCCAAAACCAAGAATAACACATGTTGACTCTTCCAAGCTGTTTTCTTTTTTGTTTCATACCTGTAACAAAATCTTTCCAGACTGACTACGAACTGTACCTACAATATACTGTGAACTATAAATAGTTCTCGATTTACGAGTATAATCAAGCTCAAAATTTCTGTTGCTAAATGAGATCGTCATTACATGAATTTTGCCCCATTTTATCACCTTTCTTGCCACAGTTGTTAAGTGAATTGCTGCAGTTGTTAAGTTAATAACACACCTGTTAAGTGAATCTAGCTTCCTCATTGACTTTACTTGTCACAAGATTGCAAAAAGTGATCCCATGACCCTGGGACACTGCAACCGTCATAAATATGAGTCAGTTGCCAAGAGTCTGAACATGTGACCATGGCGATGCTACAACAGTCAAGTGAAAACTGGTCATAAGTCAATTTTTTTCAGTACTGTTGTAACTTTGAATGGTCACTAAATGAACTATTGTTAAGTCGAGGACTTCTTGTATTAGGGAAGAGCAGACTTTACCCTCTTTCTTTTACACATAGTATCTGGACCAAGTTGCCTCTCTGGAATGCATCATGTCCCTCCTGGGAATCTGCCTTCTGACTACATTCCATCACCTATGCCAATATAAAAAGTTTCAATAATTTAATGTGTACCAACTGTAAGTTCTACTGTTCAAATTCTTCCACTATTTTTTTTCTCTTTAAAATAATTTTATTGAACACTACAATCAAAAGGATAAATGCTAATAGAAACTAAACAGAAAAAATGTAAAAGCAAAAACTAAATGTAGAAAAGAAAAAATAGTATAGAGAAAAATAGAAAAGAAAAATATAGTAAAAAAAGGGAAGAAATATATAAAGAAATAATTTTCCCCTTTGTACAGTTATTAACAATTTTAATAACTTACCACCTTCTCTTAAAATACATCAAATGATCTGTTCTTCCCATATTTCATCTCTTATCTATAAACAAAAGAAAGCCTCATCATTCCATCCTGGTCAGCAAAAGGCCTTTAAGAGTTACCAGACATAGCAAACTATATGTTTTAATTTTGATCAAGTAAACCAATTTTATATTCCTTAACTTTACTTTTAATAAACTTGGTCTTTAATCTTTGAATTCTTTTTATTTTTTCTTTGTCTCTTCTTGCAAAATCCTTTAAAAGTTTAACAGATCTCTGCAGAGGAATGTTAACTTATTTGATTTTATCCCACCTTTATTACTTTATAAGTAACTCAAGGGAATGAATATACAGTACATGGTACTCCTTCCTATTTTCTCCACAGTAACAGCCCATTGAGGTACGTTGAGCTGAGAGAGAATGACTGGCCTATAGTCACCCAGTCAGCTTTCAAGGCTAAGGCAGGAGTAGAAAACTCAGTCTCCTGTTTTCTACTTCTAGGACAACACCTTAACCTTTCTAGGAGAACACCTGTTCTGACCTAGGCTTCCTGAGTCATTAAAACACAGTAGTCCCAAAAACCTCTTTTATTGCAACAGCTGTGAATTCTGATCATTCACAGATGAGTCCCAATTAGTTGTAAAGAGTCCTTCGGGAGAATCACCCACCTTTATCTCCCTTGACACACTGCCAAAGACCTAATTGGCAAAGCCACATGGAGTCCAGAATCAAAAAGAGCTTCAAGCTTTAAACTGAACAGAATGAACAAATGTTGCTTCCTGCAAAGGCCCACATGCCTTTGCTCCTCTTTTAAGTCTTATGGGAGGGGCCAATCATCTCCAAGCCCTACTCCCGAGTCGTCCCTTTTGTTTTAACTGTTCTTGCCTTCTGGTAGCTCTGCGCATGCACGCACTGGGAACAGGCTCCCCCTGTTCCTCTGCCTTGCTGAGGTCCAACTGGAGGCTCCGGAGGCAGCCCGTACCTCCCAGATGGCCCTTTCTCTGCCTCTGACGCAGAGCCCTCGTCTGAGCCTTCCCTAGACTCCAGGACTAGCCCATGTTCCTTCCCAGCCTCCTCACTGTCTGACTGCTGTCAGCTCCGCAGGCTGCTAGCGGCCACAACAATTACAACAAACTGGCCTTCTACTATAAGAAACTAATCCAAGTCATTCTTCTGGTTAGTTATTTGCATGTGCCTTTTAATTATTAAAACATCAATCAAACAAGAGCCCCCTCTGCTTCTGGGAGTTTTATCATCTTTGGCCCTGGATAGAATTGCACTTCCCCACAAAGACCTGGTGCATAATCTGGGGTTCTTCCTGGACTCATAACTCCTGCTCAAAGAGCAGGTGGCAATTGTGGCTAGGAAGGACTTTGCTGAACTTCGTAGTGTGGGCCAATTATGCTTTTTCCTAGATAGGGAAATTCTTCTCATGCTTAATCACACCCTGGTCATCTCCTGTCTGGACTATTGTAATCTGCTCTACATGGAATTTACCGTTGAAGAATATATGGAAGCTTCAGCTGATACAGAACATGGCTGCACAAGAAATTATGGGCACCCCAAGGGCAGTACATGTTAACACCTCTGCTTTGCAATCTGCTTTGGATGCCAGTTTTCTTCTAAATCCAATTCAAAGTGTTGGTTATGACCTTGGCATGGGGCCAGTTTACCTGCAGAACCACCACCTCATTATATCAGGCCATCCCAGCCAATCAGGCGGGAAGGGTATGTTACAAACCTTGCCAGTTAAAGAATTTCAACTGATGGGGTCAAGGAAGTCTTTTCTGCCATCACCTCTGCCCTTTGGAATATTTTACCCCAAGAGATGAGGTGAAGCATCTGAAGACCTGGCTCTGCCAACTTGCTTGGAACTCGCAAAGGAGTATGCAGCCTTGGAGCTGATTAGCACCTTGAAATCACTCCCCATATTTTCAACTTTAATTACTTTATTCCTGTTTTAATTACCTCCTACTGGAATATAATATTTATATGTTTTTTTACGTTTTCATTGTGCATTGTCCAGCATTGCTCCCTTGAGGGAAATGGGTGATCTCCAAATTTTATATATAAATAAATAAAATAAAACCACCTGGTTTCATTTATATATCCAGTATATCTTTTTCCAAGAGTTTATACCCATCCAACTTGATCCAATAGACATATTGCAGATCCCATCAGCCAGAGCAGGGGTTGCCAACCTTTCAGACCTCAGGGACCACTAAATTCATAATTTTAAATCCCACGGACCACTAATATGAATTTTTTAAAAAGATAAATAGTATTTAGTGCAATATAAAAAAGGCAAATAATTTTTCTGCGGACCACGTTGGTGACCGCTGAGCCAGAGTATCAACTGGTGGGACTAGAAGCCAGAATTTTTCTGCTGTAGCCTCTGCCTTATGGAATATTCTCCCTTGGGGATCAGAATGGCTACAACTCCATTGGCCATTCGCAAAGCTTTAAAAAACTTGGCATTTACATAGAACTGGGGCTCAGAATTAGCTGAGGAACTTGTTACTTGCCTTTGCTATTAATTGATTAATCATCACTGCTGTTATTTGTGCTTATTTATTTGTGGGTGTTCTTTTAATGTTTTAAAAAATTTTTCAGTTTTAGAACTATAAGCTGTCCAGTTACTTGGTTGAGTTGTGCAGCTATAGAAACTGAATAAATATATTTTCCATATTGTTTTTGTAGCCTGTTATTTTTAAATCCACATTCAAATCAATTTCAGTCCTGGCTGGTATAACTTGCTCCTATTGCTTCTCATCATTTATGCACAGTCTCTAATGGGAAGTATTCTTAAAATTAATTTCTGATTCAATTTTTCAAAAATATCCTTCAATACCTCCAATATTAAGGTATTTTTCTCCACTCTTATGTTAGCAAGTCGAATTTAAGTGTTCTTCTCCCTTAATTGTAATCTGTAGTTCTTTGTAGTTCCATCTAGTGTCCAGTCTTCGAGTCCCATCTTATGTTTTTTTATTAAGAATTCAAAACATCAGTAATTTCCCATAGGAAGGATTCTTATAATTATTTTCAATAACTTATTTCCAATCCATCTGGACCCTTCACCCATTTATAACTTTCCAAAATCAATATTCTAATCACCCTTTTGCTGTTTATTCGTCCATAGATAGAATTTTTCTAAATCCTTATTTTTGTACTTAAAACTTCCTTCATTAAGAATTGAAGGAAACTCTTAATGAATACCATAAAACTTGCAATTCCAAAGGTTCTTAATATTTGAAAGCAGTAAAAAAGTAATTCCAAAAGTGATTAAGAAAAGACTCAAGCAAATTTTGTGTCCATATAGGTTGCATTATAACTGTGAGTTTAACCGCTTGACTCACAAAAAATCCAGAAGACCAAAACCAGACCATGGGTTTGGTGAATAAAAATCTATGACAACTGTTGATTACAAATTAAGATTAAACGTGCTATTCCCTAACCACAATATAACCCATGATCTGGGTTCAAAAATTATAGCCTAACTACAAAGTAATTGTGCAGGTTGGTGTTGACCAACCTTGGTGTTCAATAACATGCTTTTATTAATGACTCAGATGCAGAGGTGGTATTCAGCAGAACTGGTATTCTGACCAGTTCTGGAGAACCGGTAGCGGAAATTTTGAGTAGTTCGGAGAACCGGTAAAAACCACCCGCCCCCATCTATTCTCTGCCTCCCGAGTCCCAGCTGATCAGGAGGAAGTGAGGATTTTGCAATAACCTTCCCCTGGAGTGGGGTGGGAATGGAGATTTTACAGTATCCTTCCCCTGCCATGCCCACCGAGCCATGCCACGCCTACCAAGCCACACCCACAGAACTGGTAGTAAAAAAATTTGAATCCCACCATTGCTCAGATACCTAGATTAATTTTTATTAATTACTCAGGTAGAAGAAAATTTACGTGGGAGGTACAGAGAGCAGTTCCCTTGCCACTCCACCCCCATATATGTACACATTAAGTCCCTATGGATAACTTAGTAATTATTCAAGGTAAATTTCCAGTACAGGTAGGCCTCAATTTACAACCATTTGTTTAGTGACCTTTCAAAGTTACAACAGCACTGAAAAAAAGTGACTCATGACCATTTTTCACACTTACAACTGTTCCAGCAGCTCTCCATGGCCACATGGTCAAAATTCATACGTTTGGCAACTGGCGTGTATTTATGAAGGATGCATTAATTTCTGTAGTAAAACTTTTTTAAAACGGGAAAAATGTATGTGGTTAAATAATCCACATTACATGCTCCAGAATGAATGGAGCTTGTCAAAAATCCACAAAAGCTTTGGATGTATCATCAACAATAGCAATTAACCAGGGAATAAATAGACCACCAAACACTACTGGTCTACCGTAGTGAGGTTTTAATTTCTGGTTTACTTTGGAATAGATTTTCTTAATATTTCAGTCATACCTTTTTGTTATAGGGTACTCCAATCCTTACAGGGGCTTTGGCATATTCAAAATATCCCTACTACAGTCAGCAGCTAACAGGGCAGGAAGCACAGAAGTGCCCCCTAGAGAACGATCCAGGAAAATATGCATAGCATGATGTTTCTCACTTTCTTAAATCTCCTGTTATGGGCATGATGTAATCTAATGAAAGGTCATTATTTTAATTTGTTTTATTTATTCCTCACCTTTATTATTTTGTAGTTAATAACTCAAGATGGCTAACATATCTAATGCTTGTTTCTCCTTTTTTTCCCCATAACAGCAACCCTGTTGCTATTGGGCTGACCCAAAATCACATAGCTGGCTTTCAGGCTTATGGTGGGACTAAAAATCTTTCAACGTGTGAAAGAAAACTATTGGTCCACTAATGGGAAAAGATGGCAGGGAGGTGACAGGTAGCATGGATAAAGTGGAACTGCTTAATTCATTCTTTGCACCTGTCTTTATGCAAAAGAAAAAAACGGTCCAGCCTGTTGGAAGAAATGTCCATCTGGGTTCAGTTCCAAGTGGGAAAGGAGGACACTGGAAACATAGAGACTGCTTGGTTTAATGGTGCACAGGACCACATGGTTTGAGGTCCTGAGCAAAAAGAGGGAGAGAGGGAGAGATTTATACCCTGTTGGGGTTTGAACTTGCTTCCTGTTCCTGTGGCAAGAAATGTATCCTGATTGGTTGTCAGACTCCCATGGGGCCATGCAAGGGTAACTTTGTAGGTTGTCTTGAGTCACAGGCTTGGTTGAATTTTGCTGGGTGATATAATCTTCCCAGGTGTCATGTGGTGAGATGGATAGAGGGCTAATCCTATTATGTTCTGAGAGTGAAGGTCTTTTGTGTTGTAGATAAGCTGGCCCTTTCTGGGGCTATTAGCAAAGGTGGAGGGTGCTTTCCAAGAGCATGTTTCTCCTTTTCTCATCCAGGGAGGTATAATATTCTTCCTTTTTAATATTTCCTAGAATATTTCATTCTTTTAGGAGAGGGGTGGGTGCTAACTTCTTACAAACCTATAAAAGGTTAAGTGAATCACTAAAGTTAAGTGAATCATGCAGTTCTTAAGCGAATCTGGCTTCTCCCATTGACTTTGCTTGTCGAAAGCTAGCTGGGAAGGTTACAAATGGTGATCACATGACTCCAGGACAGTGCAATTGTCATAAATACAAGCCAGTTGCCGAGTGCTCAAATTTTGATCACGTGACTATGGAGATGCTGCAATGGTTGTAAGTGAAAAATGGTCAAAAGTGACTTTTTCCAGTGCCATTGTAACTTAGAATGGTCGCTAAATAAATGGTTGTAAGTTGAACACTATCTGCAATATACTTTCCATTCACGGTCTCTTCAAATTTTTAAATTTCAAATTTTCAATTTGAAACTTCATAAGAGATTCATGTTAAAACTTCAGACTTTGATGCCTTTACTAATCAATTTTATGATGGAAATGAACAGCCCATAATCATCATGCTGTTCTACTAGTTTCATCCTTGGAATGTGATTCCTAGAAAGACAAATTTTGTTCTGTCTGTCAGAATCAAAGCCCTGCAACATTTTACACCATTTCTCCTTCTCCTTTTCTGATTGCATATGCTTTTGAAGAAGTGGCTTATTTTTCAAGGACATTTGCAAGTTCTTTCTACTGTCAAGAATTTGAAAATGACCTTATCCAAGGCCTGGACTGCCTTTGCCCCACTCCCCCAAGTCTCCTCTTACCTCTTATCACAACTCAGTCTGGCAACATTCCCAGTTACCAAGCCCGTCTTGGTTTACCCACCTCCAATATTCTCCAGTCTAGGACATACAAAATTAGAAGCTCTGGAAATGAGTTCTGAAGGGTGAGATGGAGGCTTCTTGCTGAGAGCCAAGTGCAGGTTGCCCCTGTGTTCAACCTGGGAAGTGCTGCTAATCTGTTGCTACAAAAACTTCAGAAATTACATTCACACAACATGGTAAACCAAACTATAGTTTGTCTGCACAGGGATCCCCAATATTGAGAACATTCCTTACTTATTCATGGAACATGCTACAAAGAGCTTTTTGTTGTTGTTGTTCAGTTGTGTCTAATTCTTGGAGACTGCCTGGACAAGTTCCTGCACCTTTCTTGGCAAGATTGGCAAAGGAGCCTGGTTTAGCTCAACAGACAGAAGCACTGTAATTTAACACCAGCTGTCTGCAATTAAAGTAAGATCGAATCTCACTAGGCTCAAGGTTGACTCAGCCTTCCATCCTTTATAAGGTAGGTAAATTGAGGACCCAGTTTGTGGGGGCAATAAGCTGACTCTGTATAAATATACAGAAGTATGAGGGCTATTGCTTAACACACTATAAGCCGCCCTGAGTCTCTGGAGAAGGGCGGCATATAAATCAAATAAAAAAAAAAAAAGATTTCAGAAATGCCTTGCCATTGCCTCCTTTCTAGGCCTGAGAGTGAATGGTTCAAGGCCACCCAGCTGACTTTGTGCCTAAAGCAGGATTAGAATTCTCAAGTCTCCAGGTTTGTAGCCCCACACCTTAACTGCTGCCCTAAACTGGCTCTCTTACCACAAAAAACATAGGCTGTTACAAAAGCTTCATTACCAGAGGGCAAACTTGGAAGCTTATCCATAGTCCTCCCTTTGACCACTGCAGTTCTACCAGCTCAGCTTATCATGGTGTTTGGGTGAGGAAGAAGAGTATTTCCATTATTAATTAATTAATTAATTAATTATATTTCTATACCACCTTTCTCCCGTAGGACTCAAGGTGGTGTACAGCCAAGAAAAATATAGACACACAAACATCATAAAATTGCTAATTAAAATTATTACTTAGTTTGGCCAATTAAATAAAACCCAGAATTAGATAACATTTTAAAAAATCATTCACATGTTCATATGTTTAGCCCCGCCTGTTGGAACATCAGGGTCTTGAGGGCACAGTGGAAAGCACGGAGATCAGGGATATCTGTATCTCCGGGGGCAGTTCATTTCAAAGGCTTGGAGCCCTCACAGAGAAGGCCCTCCCCCTGGGAGTCGCCAGTCGGCATAATTTGACTGATGGTACCCTGAGTAGTCCCTCCCTGAGAATGAACTGGTTGGTGGGAGGCTATTGATGGCAAAAGACGGTCTCCTAGGTACCCAGGTCCTAAGCCATGGAGCCCTTTAAAGGTGATGACTAACACCTTGAATCGCACCTGGAAGACCACCGGGAGCCAGTGCAGCTCGCGCAGGAGTTGTTACATGGGCACAACGAGCTGCACCCATAATATGACTTCTGACTATATTTTCTCAGCATTACTAATGTTTAGATGTCTTTGATATCTGTGTGGGATTTTTGGAAATAAGAGACTTCACTTATAATTGCAGTCTTTGCCTTTCAGCATGCTTATTTTATTTTTATTGCTATTAAAAGAAACAAAAAAAATATATAACGGAGGAATAGAACTTAATACATGCCAGTGGAGACACTTAAAAGCATATGGTACTCCTTTTTCATTATGATCAGGAGACAGGTGGTTTAGTATGTTGTGCAAATGACGTTCACTATGGTTTTGTCAGCAAACTGTGATTAAGCAGAACATGATTTAGCATGGATCTTGTAGCATTTGTTGCTGTTTGAAATCCGAGGCATAACAAACCAGAGTAGCACAAACTGCTGCCTGATGTAATCCTGGCATTGAAACAAGCAAGCGGTTGGTGGCAGGGTGAACTCAAAATGCGCAATGCTAAACAAAGCACCTTGATGTCTGGTGTTCCGCCGACCTACCGCTGCATCCTTCCTGGCAAAGTTACAAGGAAGCTGCAAATCACCACCACGCTGTCGTCGCACAGAAGCTGCCCTCATGGAAGCCAAGCGCCCACGAAACGAAGCGGGAGGGTGTTAACTTCCGGCTGCTAACCGCGGGAAAATCGGGCTACAAAGAGGTGGCGACGATGTTGTCAGCTACTCTTTGAATTGGGTGGTGGGATGTCCACGGCTGAGACGAAGCTGAAACATCAGACGGTGCAAAATGGCTTCCATTTTAAGCAAAGCTGAACTACAATCGCTTTGCGGTCTTCGTTTTATTACTAGAGGCCGCCTGCAGCGTTTTGAGCAAAATGCGATAAGATTTTAAAGCACGGTAGATGCGTTACAGAATGTAGGTAGGAACCTATTAAAGGCGAGATGATTTTAAAGTACGGTAGATAACTTATGGAATGCAGCTACAAACCTATTAACAGCTACATCCGTGTCAAAATCAGGAACAAACCAATGAGCTGTGCCCCATCAAATTTAAATGAACGAGTGGGTAATTTAACGTGTTAAGTAATATGCTACGCACGTTACTCGGAACTGTCTCTTATAGGATCGCTGCTGACTCCTGCAAAGGCGCTGCATCCTTCATTCTTAAATTTGTACCCGTTACTGATAACTTAGGTTAAGAGAATTGCAGAAAAATGTGTGTCCGTTCTGCTAGCATTCAAAGATCCTCATCTCTCCTAATCAAAGGGTAGTTTTAATCCAGCAAATTGAGTATACTTAGTAAACTATAGCCCGCAATTATTTTCCGGAAAAGTTGTGTGCCAACTAGAGGAATACTAAATATCAAATCTAAATTATAACCTACCATTTACGTTTCTTCAAATGTCGCCCTTTTTTTTCTCTCTTTTTATGCATCACTACACCAAATAGGTCAAACTCTACCAATATTTAAAAGTGTTGCTTTTGTATTGCTTTTGTATTGCATTTCATTCACTTGAAATGAATTTACCGTTTAGCACAGTCTAGACTCGAGATTGAACAAGAAAAAAATGCCCACGATTTAGGAGAATATTTCCCAGCATGCTTTGTTCCACAAAAAAAAAAAAAAAAAAAAACCCTCGCCCGCTCTGCTTTCAGTTGCGTTGCTTCCTGGGAAATATAGTTCTACAGTGCCGGCCGGGCTTCTGAAGCTGTTTGTGAGGAGGTGCCAAGATGGCGGCCCTGTGGGGCGGCGGTGCGGGACATGCTGGGGCTGGGGGAACCCTCCCCATGCGAGGCGCCTCGGAGCCTTTGGTGGGCAATAGCTTTTCTTCTACGCAGGTACCGGCCGGTCTGGCTCCTCGGAACTGAGCTGGAGAGTTTCATTTAGCCGCGTCGGCTAACGCTAGATGGACACGTGGAAGCGGTGTGTCTGGCATAGGGAGGTGGCACTGGCAGCGGCAGCGGGAACGCGGGCTGCGGGGGCTTTGGAATGGAGGCAGGCACCGGGAAGAATGTGCGGTAGAAAAGCCTCTCAGGGAGAGGAGCTTGTGAGAAACTCAAAGCGATGCTTTGGCTGCACGATCCTAGTTGGTGGCCATTTCGCTTGAGCTTCCATACAGTTGGTAATGGTGGACTGGCGGGCTGGAATGGGCGGACGATGTGCGGCAAAATTAGCGTAGTGGAGCAGATGCCCAGGATGAACTAGCTGCAGTTCAGGAATTTGGGGGCTTTCTGAAGACCATCTCCCCCCCCCCCACCCCCGTGATGCAGGAACAATGAAAGTCGAGAGTTTTTAAGGCAAAGGCAAATCCTGGAATCGCTAGGTGTGGCAAGGCGTCCTGACCCCGTGAATTTTTGGCGTAGACTCACACTTACTTTATTTGAGTTGTGGAGCATTTTGGCCTTGGTCGGGGTCCTTTGGAAAATGTGCAAATAGAAAAGCTGTTTGTAAGATTAGAGTGCTTCTTAATCGAGTCGTGCGTTTCCCCTCATTGTTTTGAATTACTTATCAAAATGGTACTCTTTGCGGCTTTAATTTTTCCATCGACTTTTAAAACTTTCGTTTGCTTTGTCCCCTTCCCCCAACGTGCCAAAAAAAAAAAAACTTAAAAGAATTTAAGGAAGTGGGGGAGACCAGGGTATACCTAATAGGCTGATGGGGGAGCACCAACTAGAAAGTATTCTCTTATGTAAAAATGAATTCCAGTGCTTTCCCCTGCTCTGTTCTCCCTTCTGGGTGTGTTCATATCCTCCCACTTGCTGATCCTGTTCAGCCCCGTTTGATGATGCTCTCTCTCAGCAGTTCTTTTTTAATTCTTGTGTGTAAAAATCATTTTGTGTGTGTCTACTTTTACCTATTCTTGCTTCTCCTGTTCTCGGAGTCTGATTTTAGCATAATCCTGAATGCCTTGTCCCCTTTAAATAAAAATAATAATAATTTGCAGCAAATCATTTCACTTTAGAAAGCAGTTTTAAGAGAAGCCATTTATGGGAACTTACTATACTATTGTACTAGAATGACAAATAGAAATAATGAGCTGTTCACTTGAAAAGTCTGCTGAAACGCCTACTCTTTCATGCTTTTTCCTGCTACACATTATCTTCCACTGAGTGCAATAGGAGATTGTGCCACAGCCATAAGAGAAAAAAAAAAACATTTTGTGTTGCTGTGCTAAATAATAGTTAAATTTAAATGCTAAGTCTTTTGTAGTTAAAGTAAGATGTAACTCATTCCCTTACTATACAAAATATTGAGGCTGTTTGATTCACATTCTTAATAAGATTGGAGCTATATTTTAGTTTTGCTTTGAATCAACTTTTTTTGCTCAAGACTTTATCTTTGGAAGTTAAAATTTTCTATGCAAGTCTTAATATGTTTTGCACAATGGTAAGGACACTTTTTAAAAAATTCTACCCAAGCACAATCATTTGTTTTCTGCCTGACATCTTCTCAATTCTGTAGGGTCTAATCAGGAGACAAGAGAAAGTGGAGAGGAGGGCATAGAATTAATTACAATAAAAAAGACTTGGAAATGGGAAAAGAAACCCAGAAAAATGTGTGCTTTAAAACAAAGCATATATATTGTGTTATGCAGCATGAAGATGGGCGATTTAAAGCTTTAAACAAGCTCTTCACGAGTTTTATTTGAATATGTTTAAAACTGTATTTTCCCTCATCACACAATTTAAACATAATTCTTTTCCTAAACACATTGTAAACCATATTATCACTATATAAATTTGTTTAATAAAAACATTTAGCAATATGTAATATATAGAGTGTTATATCGCAACTTAAAATTGTCTCTTTGGACCTTTTTGGGCTTGTTGATTGTGGCATGATGAGTAACATAGTAAAGTGCCCCCAAAGTTTATAAAACTAAACAAGTATTGCTTCTCCTATTTGTTTGCTTGGGGCAGCGGTCCCCTAACATAGTGCCTTTTAGAGATATTGGTCTTCCTTTATTGGGTCACAGACTAATAACTAATCAAGCATGAGCTTTGGAAGTTAGAGAACTGGAAACTTTGGGTACACCCACAAATCTGGATGCCAAAGATGTGAAATGATAACCCTTTAATTTTTGTGTCTAAGATTACATTGGTAATCAGCCGAGAAAGCAAACTGAATGATGGACTTGTCTCGTGGTAGTTTTATTTATAATTTCTGAAATTTCACTTCAGTCATCATTAGAGAGTGCTTTAACTAATTTCATTAGTTTGTGGCAAAGAATCTGAAGTGTCACCTTGTAAGAGTTGAAAGAAATTATTTTGAGTAATTTCACATTCAGTTGACAGAATTAAAAGGAATATTAAACTTTTGTACTAGTAGGTATTTTCAGAGAAAGATATGTAGTGAGCATATTAATTCCAACTTTAGGTAAATTCATTGATAAACAGTATCAAGGCTTCTTCAGTTTCTCTATTTTCCACACTGCATTATTTTCATGCCAGAAGTGTAACTACAGTACTTTTTTTACTTCATAACAAAATAGTGATGTTCAGATAGTGTTCTTTAAGAACATATCTCTTATTCTAGAGATGACCACTGTCTTTGAGGGATAAAGGAAGAGTGGGAAATTGTTTTTAGTTCTATCAGCATGGATGTTCAATATGCAGCTCCAATAAAGGAGAATATTTGTAGCTCAGAGTTGAAATGAGGGGTCCCTGGTGCTCTCTGAGCTTGGTTGTTTTCTTGCAGATGTTTCATTACGTAAATTAGGTAACATTAGTATAATAGCAATGCGATAGCATTGGTGATATTACATAGTTTGGGTAATGAAATATCTGCAAAAAAACAACCAAGCTCAGAGAGCATCAAAGACCCCTCAAAGTGCATCTCTACAAATGTGGCTGAGCATACTCAGTAATGAAAAACATTGGGGGATGTACAATGATGTTTAAAAGTTTGTGAATCCCTTTGAATTTTCAACATTTCTGCATAAATATAACCCAAAACAAGTCCTAAAATTAGATAGAGGGAACTCAATTAAATGGCCAAAACATTGTTTATTTGTTTATTTATGGAAAAGAATGATATAAGGCCACATATGTATTTGTGGCAAATATCTGGAAACCCCCCCCCCCGCCCCCAGGTAGCAATGACTGCAATAAAACATTTCCAGTAGCTGTTGATCCTTGATTTAAGGCAAGATTCTTGCAGGGTCTTTCTGTGCAACCTTGATGTTTCCTCTCACAATTTTAGCCCTCTGAAGCCAGTCAAAACTCAATGTGAACATGTTTTCTCTGTTATGGTTTTTAAAAAGTGATTTATTATTACATTTGCCTTCTGCTGCACCTGACTTCCTAGTGTCAGCATGCCAGTATTTAACTGTAAATTCATCTTCAGAATTACAGGAGTAGATGTTGACAACTGCATTAAAATTGATGCTGTTTAAACATTTGTATGTATATTTTTCAAAGCTTGGTTCTTGTTTGGAAACCTTCATGTTAATTGGGATAACTGGGAGCTGTTCTATCTCATCTAGAATGCAGCAGGATGAGAGAGACTATTACAGGTTAATCAGCAGAAGAGTATGGGAAGAGACGCAATCATGTCTTGGTCCTCCCAACTTTCTGCAATTAAAACATCCTGCTTATCTGATTAAAAATTTCAATGAGCTTCTTCAGTGAGTAGTTTGTTTCGCATTGTGCTTGATTACATAGATGCAGGATTGTAGATAGTCTTGGTTGAAAAGATTTGCAGTAATTACACATATGGGTCTGATAAACTAGGAGAAAACCATATTTGCAGAATAGTAGATTTGGGTCTCAGAAATATAAGTTTTTATTTTAAATGCCCAGCCTCTAAATCTAAGCTTTTGGGCAGCTTGAAAACAAAACAATACTGTAGTCCAAAATATCAGGTATTTTGGTAATAATGAAAATCAAAGCATTAAGCTAAGAAAACATGGCAGCTAATGATGGATGAAACTTGTAAAGTTCTCAAATTCTAGAAATTGAGACATGTACACTACAAGAACATATTTGGCAGTTGCAAGAAGTTGTTTGCCTTTTATCTATTGCTGTTAAGCATTATTAGCATTCAGTTCCTCATTTAACCTGGGTACTAGAGGGAATTATTCTGTGCCCTAGAAGATAATACTTAATTCACATTCAGCTACTTTCATTCTTATCTGATTTATTTTTACTGTCCCTCCCTTCCCCTGTATTTTCTCCTTCCAGTGTTTACTGGCAGAGGATTTGCACTTGGCATCTTTGGAAGCAGAAACCATCCTTGAAGCTGGGGAATTCCTGGAAACAATGCAGGACTACTTAGACTCTTCTGTCATTTCCATCATTGAAGATTTCAGCAGTTTGACTGAGGTGTGTGTGCTTAGAGATGACTGGCTTCTGCATTGCTTTGTGCATGGTAACATGAACTAAGGTGGACTGCTTAGCCCTAAATGAAGAAAACAAACGTAGCTTTTCTTCTTGCCTTAAATATAGTGAAAGTGCAATTCTCTGCTTTCATTACATTGTATGCTTTTGTGGACAATAAATGGAGTGGGGGGTTTCTGTGATGAAGTAGAAGATCTACTTCAGCCTAATAAGTGGTTTTATCTTGAACAGATAATAGTTTTATATTGAATTCCTCATAT